TTAGTGGTCGACACAAGAAGAAGAGGAGTTCAAAAATCCAATTCGTGCCAGATACGAACTTGAAGGACATCCATATTTTTCATCATCACGTCTTTGGGATGATGGAGTTATTAATCCTGCGGATACACGTAAGGTTCTTGGATTAGCACTTAGTGCTGCTCTAAATGCATCAATTGAAAAAACACAATTTGGAGTGTTTAGAATGTAATAGAATGGTTTAATTTTATTATAGACATGTTAATAGGAAAACTTTTTTTTTGTAATAAATATAAACATTTAAAAATTATAACGATAATATTATCTCATTTATAATTATTGGTGTTTAAATTACTGTAGTATAGTATTAGGAGGATTGGTTTTCGTTCTAAATATCGTTCTGTTGTCACTATTTATTACTGTAATATACATTCTTATCTCGTTTAACTTTGACTATTGATGGTAAACATCTTTGTTGTATCAAGATTTAAAAATTTGCACTGATAATTTTTCGTTTATCTAAAAAAGTTAATTTTTTATACAAAGAACGCTATTAAAATTTAATAAGTTATGACCATATATGATAGTGTAAACAGAAACTTTGTTTGAAAATGGCAAACTTTACGAGGCAGAATTTGTATATTTTTTTTGAGGATTGATATTTGTACCTCCCAAATTGATATTCATACCCCCATAAAGTTTTTTTTTTGAACTTTGAACGAAGATATCTCGACAACCACCAAGTCAAATTCGATGAACCTTTTTTATTTGATTCTATGAATTCGTAAAATTCAAATAAAAAAAAGTTCATCGAATTTGGCCTGATGGTTGCTGAGATATCTTCGCACAAAGTCTTAAAAAACTCAAATCGTCTATCAAAACAGAAGCCGCCCCAAAATTTTTTTTATTCTTTGAGCGAAGATATCTCAGCAAACGAAGATATCTCAGCAACCACCAAGCCAAATTCAATGAACATTTTTTTATTTGAATTCTATAAAGTCATATAACTCAAATAAAAAAAAGTTCATCGAATTTGGCCTGGCGGTTGTCAAGATATCTTCGTTCAAAGTTTTAAAAAACTCAACGCCTATAAAAGTAGCTGTGTCAAAATTTTTTCCAATGTTTGAACGAAGGTATCTTAACAGCCACTGGATCAATTCGATGAACATTTTTTTATTTGAATCCTACAGATACATAGAATTCAAATAAAAAAAGG